CTCCTACTTATTTATCCTCTGTTTCTCTGCTCACCTGACTCCTTTCCGGAGGAGCTATCCCTGATGCTTCTACACTGAGTCAAGCTCCTAGTATTCTTCTCTTAGTGTCATGTGCCCCTCCTGCCTGGCATTCATCACAGCTTTAATGTTTCAGTTTTGTGGATGATCATTGGATTATGTCTTCCTCCCACACCAGACTGTAATCTCCATGAGGATAGGATTTGTTTCTCATTGACCCACCTTAGGTCTCCACTGCCTGGTGCTTTTCCTGGCACACAATAGAAGGTCAAAAAATATTTATAAAAGAAGTGACTGCATGCATTTTGCTTACCAGATGCTGCCTCCTAGCATCACTCAGCTGTGGCCTGTATTGAAGGTTCACCAGTGATGAGTCCTTTTGCTCTTACAATTCTCACGTTGACATCCAAGCTTATTCAGCTTTTCATTTCCTTTACACGTCTTGATGGTTTTTCCTCAGGAGGGCCTGCTGGAACCTCTGGGGATGGGGCTTGGGGAGGTAAGTGGAATGGAAAAAACATGTCCAGGGGATTCTGATTCACCACCCGCCTTGCAGCGTCAGGGCAGGAAGATCCTGCTTTAAATCTCAGGATAACTACCTAGGGTCTGGACAGACAATCTTACGAAGTATTCTTCCCAGGAGTCCCATTCTATCCTTTCCTCCCCCTCTCCCTCCCCAGTTCCTTCAGGCTTTTATAGACAGCATATTTACAGAGGATGTGGCTCCTTTTTTTTTGGCGTATTGATTCCTTTGAAAGGCTAGATCTTTAGAGCTAGAGAAATGGCCACACGGTGGGGGGCTTTCTGTAAAACTGCATAACATTTTTCTGGTGTGTATTTATTCCCTACCCCTTGAGCTAAACATGAAGCTGAGTGATAATTGCCTGTGTCTCCAGGTGAGTCCATTTCGTTGCAGGTGTGTCACAGGCCCCGAGGAGCCCTGAGGTGTAATCTTTACGTGGCTGCCTCAGCAACTGAGTTCACCAGTGTTTGTAGTGCGTCCGAAGACAAGCAGGTATCCACGACAGTGGGTGTTTCTAACAAATTTCCCTCTCAAATTGGCACCTTCTCTGCCAGCTTTCCAGATTTCACAGTGTGTCTCACAGTTTGGGAACAATTTCCATCGTCATCTAACTGGCAAATACTAGTTCTGTGGCAACTTGTGTTTTTAAAATAGTTTCATACACAGTAGGGCCCAGAGGTCCAACCGGCCTCTGACGTAATCACTTAAATACACATTAACATAATGTTCCCAAGAGACAGCATCATCTCTGGACACGTTCAAAAGAACACTACATTGTCACTTGTTTAGCTTTTTGTATACACATAAGTTATCCATAGGTGAGGATAGGTTATTTGAATTTTTTCTATTCTAGATTAATTTACCTCTTCAAAGCCATGTTTCACACAGACTTTCATAATGTTGAATTATTATTTTTTATTCTTGAAATGATCTGTCAAATTATGCATGCTCTGTCAGGCAGGGTGGAAGCTTTGTAACTGATTTCCCTATTTTTAGAACGACTAACCCTCCTGGTTTGTCCAGGACTGAGACGGGTTCCCAGGACATGGGATTTTCAGTGCAAAAACCAGAAAAGTGCAGACCACTAGGACAAATTTGTCACCCTACTACCATTTCTACCCCAAGAAAGGGAACAGGTAGACCCAGTCAAAGGAAATTATCATTCCCTGTATCTCCCAGTTTATTGGTCAGTAGGAATTCCCTGAAAGTAATATCTTGCAAAGCTTTCTTCTCTCTCTTTTTTTTTTTTTTTTTTTTGCGGTACGTGGGCCTCTCACTGCTGTGGCCTCTCCCGTTGCGACGCGCAGGCCCAGCGGCCATGGCTCACGGGCCCAGCCACTCCGCGGCATGTGGGATCTCTCCGGACAGGGGCAAGAACCCATGTCCCCTGCATCGGCAGGCGGACTGTCAACCACTGTGCCACCAGGGAAGCCCTCTCTTTTATTTTTTTAATATTTTGGTTGGCATTTTTTTAAAAACTTATTTATTTATTTATTGGCTGCACTGGGTCTTCGTTGCTGCGAGTGGGCTTTCTCTAATTGTGGCGAGCAGGGGCTACTCTTTGTTGCAGTGCGCAGGCTTCTCATTGCAGTGGCTTCACTTGTTGTGGAGCACCGGCTCCAGGCGCGCAGGCTTCAGTAGTTGTGGCTCACGGACTCTAGAGCACAGGCTCAGTAGTTGTGGTGCACAGGCTCAGTAGTTGTGGCACGTGAACTCTAGAGCACAGGCTCAGTAGTTGTGGTGCACGGGCTTAGTTTCTTCGCGGCATGTGGGATCTTCCCAGACCAGGGATCAAACCCGTGTCCCCTGCATTGGCAGGCGGATTCTTAACCACTGCGCCAGCGGGCAAGTCCTCTCTCTCTCTCTTTTAATAGAACAGCTTTATTGAGATAAAATTCACATAACATATGATTCACCCATGTGAAGGGTGCCATTCAGTAGTTCTTAGTATGTTCACAGAATTGTGGGATCCTCAGCACGATTTTAGAACATTTCATAACTCCTCAAAGAAACCCTATACCCATAAGCAATCATTCTCCTTTCCCCCAGTCCTCTCAGCCCCTAGCAACCACTGGTCTGCTTTCGGTCTCTACAGATTTGTCTTTTCTAGATATTTCATAAAAATGGAAACATACAATATGTGGTCTTTTGTGTCTGGCTTCTGTCACTGAGCATCATGTTTTCAAGGTTCTTCCATGTTGTAGCCTGTGTCAGTCGTTCATTCCTTTTTATTACTGAATAATATTCCATTGTATGGATAGACCACATTTTATTTATCTATTCATAATTTGTTGGACATTTGGGTTGTTTCCATCTTTTGGCTATTATGAATAATGCTGCTATAAATACTCATGGACAAGATTTTATGTGGACACATGTTTTCATTTCTCTTGGGTATAATCCTATGGTTAGAATTCCTGGGTCATAGAGTCTGCCATACAGAGTGAAATAAGTCAGAAAGAGAAAAACAAATACCGTATGCTAACACATATATATGGAATCTAAGTAAAAAAACGGTTATGAAGAACCTAGGAGTAAGACAGGAATAAAGACACAGACGTAGAGAATGGACTTGAGGACACGGGGAGGGGGAAGGGTAAGCTGGGACGAAGTGAGAGAGTGACATTGACATATATACACTACCAAATGTAAAATAGATAGCTAGTGGGAAGCAGCCCCATAGCACAGGGAGATCAGCTGGGTGCTTTGTGACCACCTAGAGGGATGGGATAGGGAGGGTGGGAGGGAGACGCAAGAGGGAGGAGATTTGGGGATATATGTGTATGTATAGCTGATTCACTTTGTTATAAAGCAGAAACTAACACACCATTGTAAAGCAATTATACACCAATAAAGATGTTAAAAAAATAAACAAAACAGAATTCCTAGGTCATGTTAAATCTCTATGTTAAACCTTTTTTTTGGGGGGGGGTACTTCCAGACTGTTTTCCAAAGTAGCTGGACCATTTTACCATCTCACCAACAGTGTATGTAGGTTCCAGTTTCTCCATGTCCTTGCCAACACTTAGTTATTATCTGTCTTTTTTATTGTAATCATCCTAGTTGGTGCGAAGTGGTATCTCATGGTTTGATTTTCATTTCTCTGATGTCAGCGATATTGAGCATCTTTTCTTATGTTTATTAAGCTTCTTAAATGGAAAATTATAACACAATTAAAGGATGTTTGTAAATAACTGATTATACACACTAGGCTTTAGATTTTAACTAAGTATTTAAATAGGATGCCCACAGCTGATTGCTATTATCTCAAATCATTCTACCTGGAGGTAAATCTCCAAGTTTTCTTTAAACCATCAACTTTTCCTCATGACCAGAAATGGTCCCAGTATAAATCTCTCTCATTTGCTCTGATGTTGGGCCATCCTCCGTTCTCTCTGTCAAGCATCGTTGCCTGAGTGGCTGTCTTCTCAGGAGCCAGCGACTGTGTGTTTCTTGCACATAAGCCTGGATTTGCAACCCTGGTGCTTTGTTGATTAACTTCCTCAAAGTGTTGGATACTCAATCATCACTCGTACTATTTGGACTCAGTGGCCTTCTGGGCACTTTATACACTCAGCGATTCCTCTCTTTGTCTTAACTCTCTGATTTTCTGCTACTTCTTTTCCTTTGTCTGTTCCCTTTCTCCAGTTTCTCTTGCTTACTCTATGTGTTTATTTAATTTTGTTCATTGGTTAGTTTTTTCCTCTATTCCTCCACTAATAAATTCCAAAAGGATCTGAGGCACTGGATTCCATCTCCTGCCCTTGCCTTTTCTCCTGTCATTAACGAATCTTCTCTCAAGAAACCCCATTGATTTGGCAGAAAAGGATGGGATTCCTAGCAAGGCTACCAAGAAAACCATCTGCATCAGGAAACATACTCCCTATCTGCAATATCTTTTGGAGCCTGAGCATGGAAACAAGGAGTTTTCATCTTTCTAGAAAGGCCCTGGCCACAGCTGTGTGACATGATCAACAGTTTCTACGAATGTCTATGGATGACCTCCTATTGATCAGCAGCTACTACAAAGATACCATTTCTGCATTTAAACCATTATTACTTGATATATGTGGCCAAACAGTCACTACCTTACAGTTTGGCAGAGGGAACAAGGGTAATAATAATAAAACAACAGTAATAAATGATCTAGGCACTATGCTAACAGTAGAAGAAGAATTTCATGGGGGCAGTCCACTGTAGAAGCAGGCAACCAGGTATTTTTATTATCATTTCCATATTATTATTTACTTTGTAAAAAGATTTAACCCAGCACAAGGTAATATGGTCACCTTCAGATACCAAAATGGTCCCTCATTTCTACTTTATCTGTTTTTACAACAGGGATGGCCCTAAGGTTATACCCTTTGGGACAACACTGCCATTTTCATTCCTGACCTAAGAGACCTGGGGTTCCCATGAGTGGGGTAGCCAGTGATCTTTGTCGGTTTGTGTGTTTCAGAGTCAAGGGGCCAGAGAAGGAGGAGAAGTTGAGGCGGGCGATCAAGCAGGTCCTGAAGTGTGACGTGACTCAGAGCTGGCCGCTGGGGGCTGTCCCACTGCCCCCGGCCGACTGCCTGCTCAGCACGCTGTGCCTGGACGCCGCCTGCCCGGACCTCCCTGCCTACCGCACGGCCCTCAGGAACCTCGGCAGCCTGCTGAAGCCGGGGGGCTTCCTGGTGCTCGTGGATGCTCTGAAGAGCAGCTACTACATGATCGGCGAGCAGAGGTTCTCCAGCCTCTGCCTGGGCCAGGAGACAGTGGAGGCTGCCGTGAGGGAGGCCGGCTACACCATTGAACAGTTTGAAGTGATTTCCCAAAGTTATTCTTCCAACATGGCCAACAATGAAGGGCTTTTCTCCCTGGTGGGGCGGAAGCTGAGCACATCTGTATGATACCTTGGGATCGCCATTAAAGCAATTCCTCTGGCTCACCCAGTTGACTTCAATCCTTGGTTCTAACTGCCATGGTCATTATTCTGAGTAGAGGTTAATGGCTGGGGCCCAATGGTTCATCTAGGGCAGGGTTGGAGTGGTCAGTCTGCCTAGGAACCATTGGTTGACCACCTACTCTGTGCTCCCCAGGTGTGCTGGTGTTATGAGGACTCCAACACGACAAATGGGCATGTCTAGTCTTCACTGCCTATGATTACAAAAGAATACCTCATTTTCCTTGAATATCCCAGTTATGATGGCTTAAGCCCACACATGACTACAGAGAAGTGTCTGCAGTTATTCACTCCTCATTTCCTTGAGGCCCTGATGCCTTCTTCTCTCCCAGGAACAGGCTTCCCCTGTCCTTCACTTCTTGCCTTCTCCGGGGACCGTGTCCTCCTCTGGGGTCTACTGGTGTTACCACCACCCAGAGCCAGAGAACAGCTGTCACTTTTGCCTCTTGGTCTCAAGAATGGGGTACGCCTTTCTTTTACTTCCCTCAACACACCTGAGCCAAGGCTGTGACTTTTATACCTGAAGAGAAGTTTAGGAGTTAGCAAGAGAGAAAAGAGACCCTGTCTTGCAGGTGCTATTAGAAACAAGTATCTTTGGGAATTCCCTGGTGGTCCAGTGGTGAGGACTCCACGCTTTCACTGCTGAGGGCCTGGATTCAATCCCTGGTCGGGGAACTAAGATCCCACAAGGCACGCTGTGTGGCCAAAAAAGAACAAAAGAAAGAAAGAAACAAGTATCTCAGAGCCCACATCCGTAGAGGGTCCTGGAAGGTAGCCTGTTGGTATAGCTTTTGGCCAAGCATCTATTTATCTACTTGGAGTTAGCATACCTCCATATGACACGGCCACCCTTTCTGGGTCCTATGCCTGTCAACCCAAGGCTCTAAAACAGAAGTTGACAAACTACGACCCAGGAGCCAAATCCAGCCTGCTGCCCATTTTGTAAAGTTTTATTGGAACACAGCCATGGCCATTCATTTGCGTACTGTCTGTGGTTGCTTTCCTGCTGTGATGGTAGAACTGAGTAATTATGAGAGCAACTGTATGTATAGCCTGAAAAGCCTAAAATATCTATTATTTGGATGTTTGTAAAAAAAACAGTTTGCCTTCCCCTACCCGAGAGAGAGAAGGAGTTTCCTCTTCACCATGGTCTGAGGCCCCTTTCTCTAGTCTTCATTTCTCATCCCAAGATTTCTCTCTTCCTAGGATTACTGACAGTGGACATTTCTGCTTCTCACAAGGGAGAGTCCTTCCTCCCCACTCCCCGACATCCAATGACCATCACATCAGGGCAGGAGAGTCCAACACCAGTACATTTTTGTTTACTTGGTTGTAAATGACACAGTATTGGTCCATTTCCGAGACATTTCCAACTGTTCAATTATCATAGGATATTCACATCACAACATTCTAACCTGTTTAGGGGTTCTAGAGATTCTGTCCTGAAGGTCACTAACAGGCCAGTCCAGGCTGCATCAAGAAGGCCAAGTCCAGTTCTGTTCCTGTAAGCAGGTGGGGAGGGTCAGACCTGTGCATCCTTTCTCCAAGTAACTGTTCCCAGAAGGCAGCACACTTAGCTCCCCAGCAGCCAGCCCCAGTCACCCAGGCTCCAAGAAAGCAACAAAGTCTGTGGAGACTGGCTCTCCCAAAACTGTGCCATCTACCTCCACCCAGAATGAAGGTCACAGCGTCTGAAAACGTCTGCATTTGGTTACCCCCCAGCCCACCCAAGGCAATGGCCCTTGCTTACATTTGCTAACAGCAAAGAAAAACATAAGCCTACTTTTAAAACAGGATTTCCTGGTTTCAACCTCTTTTAAAAACAGCAATTTCTTTTTAAAACAAGCTTTCAAACGATAGGTTTTCTACTTTGACCTATGCAATTTTGGCTGGTGGGGGGGAAGAGGGGGGTTGGATGCCAGGGGAAGAAGCTGAGACCAGATGGCCCACAACAGCTTTGTAAGGCACAGTCCCTGAGCATATTAGTCTTCTGTGATTTTACCTCTAAGAGGACATTTATGGTAACACTTTTTGGTTCCCCACTCAACTGTGAGCCTCTTGGGATTATATTTGGATTCCCCAACCCTTTGGCCAGACATGGTCTAGGCTCTGGGCACAGAGCAGTGAATAGCGGAGGTTACAACCCTGTTCTGGGAGTTTACGTTCTAGAAGAGGAAGTGGGGGGGGACAGGAAGATAAGGGAACTAATCAATGAATGAGATACTTTCTGATAGCGATCAGAGCTATGAAGGCACTATAACAGGATAATGGGCTGGAAACTGTCTGATTGACAGAACATCTGACTAAAAAATGGTTTAAAAAATAGGGGTTTATTAATCTCACAAAGAAGAAACGCAGAGGTAGGCACTTGCAGGAGAAAGTGGTGGCTCTACAGCATGCTCAGGCATCCCGGTCGTATCCATCTTTCTACTCTGCCTGTGCCTATGAGTGGAGTTTTCATGCGGGAAAATCTGTTTCAGAAGCCCCAGCTGGCTTCCTACCTCTTACTGACCAGACTAACATGCCCACCTCTAGACCAATTGCAGGCAAAACAGAAAAGACACAGGGCACACTACTAAAGATTTGTTAAATGAATCAATAAATTCTTAGGTGACAGCAAAAAGAAAAAAGAAAACTCACTGGATTCAGCAAACAAGCCAGCAGCTCTGATAATCTCAGCATCCAATTTTTTTTTCTACAAAGATCATCCCATTTTCAAAATCTGGCTCTGCTACTTACTAGCTGTTTCTCCTTGGGCAAGTTACATAACCTCTCTGTGTCTGCCTCCTTATTTGTAAAATGAGATTAAAATAGAATTTCCTATCAGGAGAATACAAATGAATTGCTACATATAAAGGACCTAGAATAAATGCTTGGCACTTGATAAGCACACAATATTTATTTATTGTTAGCTGTAATATTATTATCTTTGATATTAGTTGCCAAAGCAGCTGAGAAGAGATATCTTGAGCTCTGAGTAAGAGAGAGGATTGCAGTTCTGGGCTGCAGGCATCCAGGCTCTTTACTACTGGCATTGTCTTCCAGAGGGGTTGTGATGAAACTCAGTTTCTACACTGCATGACACCAATTCCTTTCTCATTTAAGAACTATTCAGCAAACATTTGTTTAGCACCCCCCAAGTACCTTTCCTACTCCAGGCACTGAGAATTCAGATGAAGCCCTGTGTCAGCTGGCTTTCAGGTCCTCATCTCTGCAGTCACAGTGATACATTTAGTGCTTCCCAGTACTTCCAAAGGCAGTACTGCAGCCTGCAGCAGTGGTCCCCACTCAGAATCCACCCTGTTCAGCTTTTCCTGCTCAGGCTGTGCTGCTGGTGGTCCATGTCCACAGCCGGCAAATGCTGGGGGAAGAATGACGTGGCCTATCTTGAGAAGGATACTCCCCATGCCCAGGGTTCTGCCTTGGATGCCTCAGAGCCATGCCAGTTTCCTCCAGGAGAAGGAGAAAACACTGTCCATCTACACCAGGGGTCAGCAAACGTTTCCTGCAAAAGGACCAGATGGTAAATATTTTTGACTTTGTAGGTCATAGGATCTTTTTAAAAAATATATTTATTTATTTTTAAAATGTATTGTCTTTATTTTTTTGGCTGCGTTGGGTCTTAGATGTGGCATGCAGGATCTTTTGTGGCGGCACACGGGCTTCTCTCTAGTTGTGGCGTGCGGGTTGTCTCTTTTCTAGCTGTGGCGCGTGGGCTCCAGAGCGTGTGGGCTCTGTAGTTTGCGACACGTGGGCTCTCTCATTGAGGTGTGGAGCTCAATAGCTGTGGTGCATGGGCTTAGTTGCCACGTGGCATGTGGGATCTTAGTTCCCTGACCAGGGATCGAACCCAAGTCCCCTGCATTAGAAGGCAGATTCTTTACCACTGGACCACCAGGGAAGTCCCAATCATAGAATCTTGATCTATTGAAGTCTGCAGTTATAGGGAAAGCAGCCCTAGACAATATGCAAATTAATGTGTGTGGTTCTATTCCAATAAAACTTATTTACAAAAACAGGTGAACAGGTTGATTTGGCCCCAAGGTTGTAGTGTACAGATTCCTGATCTAGACCCTGAAGCAGCCTTACTTGTGCCTGAAGTTTTATAAGGTTTCTCTAGTTAATTTCAAATACTCCATTCTACTTATAGGAGCTCAAACCCAAATCCGAGGGGCTGAAAGGGGAATACAGAGAACACTGTTTCCTCCATGATCCATCTGTACTCCATCTCTCTCTACCCTGCTGCATCCCCCAAACAGAACTCCTTACTCCTCCCCCAGGGTGAAGCATTCAATAAATAAAGACAGAAGATGGAGGTGGGGGCGGGGATGGGGGGGGGAAGATGAAATCAACTACACTAATAGTTCTCAAACTGCAAGTTGACATTCATTCATTAAAATCAAATTAGTGTATCACAATAAACATTTGGAAAAACAACAGAGAATGAACTAGAAAAAAAATCCCAGACATTAGCACTCCGTATAGTCTTATTTTGTGAAGTTTTGTTTTAGTTTTATTAAAAACTGCATGTAGGGACTTCCCTGGTGGCAGAGTGGTTACGAATCCACCTGCCATTGCTGGGGACATGGGTTCGAGTCCTGGTCCGGGAAGATCCCACACGTCACGGAGCAACGAAGCCCGTGCACCACTACTACTGAGTCTGCGCCCTAGAGCCCATGAGCCACAATTACTGAGCCTGCATGCCACAACTACTGAAGCCCGCACACCTAGAGCCCGTGCTATGCAACAAGAGAAGCCATGGCAATGAGAAGCCTGTGCACCGCAACGAAGAGTAGCCCCTGCTTGCCGCAACTAAAGGAAGCCCGCGCACAGCAATGCAGACCCAACGCAGCTGAAAACAAACAAACAAGCAAACAAAAATACTACATGTATATGCATAGGTATATAAATACATGTTTATATATATATATATATATATATATATATATATATATATACACATATATTTCCTCCTGGATCATGAT